TCAAAATTAAAGTCTCTGGCATTATCCGGCAGTCAGCGGAAGTGGGCAAAAACAAACGGGTTGTAGCCTCCACTCTTTATCTCGATTCATAAGAAAAAACTAACAAAAGAGATTTGCCAATTGCCAACTACTCTTTATTTTGTTTGAGGCCGTGCTTTAAATAATAATAATAAAAATGCCAAAATTATAGCTACAGGTCTATTTACTTTTACTAGTTTAACAGTTTATCAAATCTTACAAACTTTCGTAAGTTTTACATAACAAACATCAGTTCAATCTATATACGACAAATACTAAAACTCTACTTATTTGTTAAATTAAATAACTTTGATAAACTCTAAAATATTTGTTGTCACGAAGTAATTACTGAAAACAAAAAACAATGCCAAGAGAACTGTAACTAAACTAAGAGCCCGTTTGGACATACAAATTTTTTTCTTTTTTTCAATTTTTTTTTGAAAACAAAGTTTAGTTATCCCATTCTTACCAATTTTTCCCTTTTCACTTGAAAATCCATTTTCAAATTTGAAAAACTAGTTCTCACCATTTTTCAATTGAAAATAGGAATTTTCTAGTTTTTAATTTTACCAATTTACCCTATATTTTTAAAATTTATAAAATGACCCCATCAATTTTTCATCTTTGGCAGATACATCTTTGGCGACTGATGGTGGAACATCAGTCCTAGTTGATTTTGCATCTTCTGTGTATTGCAGTAAAGCAGAATATGATAACAGTTAAACAATAGCATTTTGATTGTTTATCTCAAGTGGGATAATCAAATTGGGGTGGTTTTGATATTTTTACAAGTTGTGGGGGTATAAATCATGTTTCATGATTTTGAAAAAAAAGATATCCAAATATATTGCAAAAATTATAACCAAACACAACTTCATCTTCAATTCAAATTTTAGTGAAATTTCAAATTTGAAAAAAAAATTTGAAATTCATGTCCAAACCCTACTAATTTACTTTACAATTTTCAAGTTGCCACGAGTTCCTAAATAATTGTATAAATCATGGTAGCTCAATTGAGACATAGTAAATAAAAGGTCAGGAAATCGTGATCAAAGGCAACAAATTAATAAGCGAGAAGAAGACATATGGAGAGCAGAGGCAAAAAGTAGTGTAGACTGAGTAAAACTAGGAAAAAAACACACAGAAGAAATTGTTGACCAAGATAGAAGAAAGCCGGAAGGCAGAGCATTACTTTTGGAATTATCTTGTTGGTCTTGAATACGTTGTTGCTTTGTAATTAAAAGGCGTATATAAATTGGATTTATCTTATAAATAGTCACATTAATGGTTTCTTTATATTGTCAGTATATATACTTTAACTTTCTATAAGGTAATATGTCTTATTTTTATGGAATCTAATTTCACTTTTTTATCTATGAGTACCGGTTATCTTTTAAATGATTTGATAGTGTAATTTTTTTTTAATATGTTAGTGTATAGACTGCTACATGCTTCTGCCAAAAATGTGTTGTACTTTATTGCCTGGATACTTTCTGATGTCATATTCCATTCTTAAGCAATATTTCCGTTGCTATAAATACTTCCTAATTATGGTCAAATCCTTCAAGCAGATAGCAGTAAATTTAAACAAGCAATATGGCTACTAGCAAAGTTGGTATCCTCACTCTCCTCTTTCTCTGTGGTATGCCTTTTACCTAATGCTCATCTTTCTTTTTATATATTCCGTAAGAAAATGTCATAACATGTGAATATCCACATAAAAAAAAAAAAAAAAAAAAACTCTTACAAGAAGTTGCTATCTATTGTGTTTGAAACAGTGATTGGAAGCACAGTTGAGGCAGCCAAATTTTGTCCCCTGAATTGTGATGGTAGAGTGGCATTCATGACTTGTGCATCTAAGAAGTCTTTTCCAAAATGTATCAACTGCTGTGGAGCAACCAAAGGCTGCAAACTTTTCCGTCAAGATGGTTCCTTAATATGTACTGGAACTTAATTAAAAGGATTATTACTCCTATTACTTCCAGTAATTAAATTAAAGTTATATATGTGTCACTAAGATGACCTCTCTGATGTCCCATTTAATGATATGGTGTGACCTTCACTCTTTGTCTAATTACCGTTTCTCCTTTGATTCGCATTGTCTGGCAGTTTCTTTAATTTCTTGGGATCTTCTGAAGACAAATTAAAGCCACTCTTATGGGTTAAATTTCACAAATAATCATATAATTATGATTTTTATTTTTATTTTTACCAAAGTTATATAATTTTGTTTTCTCATACAAATATCATAAAACTTTCACTAACTTATACAAAAATTATAGTGACCGAAAAACATAATTTTCCGGTAGTATTTTCTTATTCAACATTTTTTATTTTTTATTTTCAGTCTATTAAATAATAAACCAATAAAAATAAAAATAAAAATATTTTTAGCTTCTCTAAAAAATAATAGCCGATAAAAAAATTATAATTTCATATATGAGTATAATATGCATATTCTATATATATTTTGGCAAGCGAATGCAATTAATTTCGGCCGACAGGTTAATTTTATATTTTCTCCTTAAAATAGGAATGACCCAACCCAACCTGAGCCAATGTTCAATTACATAAATTAAAATAATACTACAGTGAAGCCTTTTTTCAAGAAAAACTTAGCTTAAAATGCATGAGATTCTGGCCAAAAAAAGAAAGAAATAAAAGGTATAATTAGTGAGCACTTAAAACAAAAATACTATCAATTTGAATGAATATCTTAAAAAGAAAAATAAAAGATAGAAGTATCGTATTTTGAAGGATTCACTTTTAGTATTATTTTAATTTATATATATGGCTATTGGGTCGAGTGGGTTAGGTCGGATTGGGTCTATTTTAATTGAAGTATATTATTACTAAAAACTTGTATTTTCCGGTTACTATGATACGTGTGAGTTAGTAAAAGTTTTATAACTTTTATCTGAGAAAACATAGTTATATGACTTTGGTGAAACAAAGTTACATTTATATGAACATTTGTAAAATCTACCCATGAAAAAAGAGTATGTTTGTTTTGTTTTGTAGGTATTGAATCAAACACCAGCTTATACATTATATATGCTTATATTATTTGGTTTTGATGAAATGAAGTTACGTTCAAATTTATGTTTATTTGCAAGTTATATTTTCTTTTAAATAAATAATGCAATTTATGCTTAAAATTTATAAATGTAATATGTTGGCACAAAATATTCAGTTACACCTTGCTCTCTCCAAATGTAGGTTTATCTGCATTTTTTTGTACTGAAACATTCTTTTTGACTGTCATAATATTAAAATCATGAGCAGAGTACCATCGCTATATGAACTCTGGTTACAAGATATGTATGCAGATTATAAGCATGTAAAAAATAAGAGCCAGAACGAATCAAAATCCTAATATGATCACAAAGTTTATGACAAACTATATATGATATTACATTATGTATTACTAACAAAGTGATAAAATATATAATCAAAGAGGGAAGAGAATTTGTTAGGTGTTAGCTTTTGCGAGAGCTTCTCATAGTACTTTGAGTGGGAGGTGAAGCATTTGTATTGATCTTCTTTATTCCCCTTAATATTTTGTTCAACTATATATGAAATATTTACTTCATAGGGTCTAAGGGTTCAATTGTTACCCACTGCTGTAGAATAAAGAATACTTATACCATCAGGTTGCTTATAACATTGGGGGATTTGCATTTATACCCGCTTTTTGGGTTACGTTTTAACTTGTGCCGGCTTTACAAAAAAAATTGCAAGCGTACCCACTTTTTCGCGTAACTTCAGCATACGGGGCTGAAGTAGCAAAGACAATCACGCAAAACTTCAGCATTCTGTAGACAGGCCTGAAGTAGCAAAGGCAATACGCTAAAGTATTTTTGTCCCGGATAAGATGCTGAAGTTATTTAGTTCATTTGTAAAAACTTCAGCGCTAAAATAGCTGAAGTTTTTTTTGTCCTGGATTCATTAGTTTTGTCATAAAACTTTTTCAAAAACTTCAGCAGAAGATGCTGAAGTTATTTAGTTCATTTGTAAAAACTTCAGCACTATATAAGCTGAAGTTTTTTTGTCCTGGATTCGTTAATTTTGTCATATAGCTTTTTCAAAAACTTCAGCAGAAGATGCTGAAGTTATTTAGTTCATTTGTAAAAACTTCAACACTATATAAGCTGAAGTTTTTGAAAAATCTTTCTAACATACTAGATAAATAATCACCTTATTCTTTCATAGTGTATTACTACTATAAAATAATCAGATTGCCAACAATATCTAAATCATAAATTTTGGAAACAATAAACGTGAAAAGAACAGAATTACGTGGAAATATTCACAAATTATTGTCTATTAACTTACGTAATTATTTTTAAATAATCTAATAAACATACTTATGACAATCATCCCATGAACTGAAGTTTCATAGCAGCACCAACAGCAGCAGAAGAAAGAAGAAGAAGAAGAAAACGAATGAGGAGAAGGAGGAGGAGAAAGGGGATTGAAATTGTTTAAAAAGTGAGTACAAGTTAAAATTTTTAGAAAAATGGGTATAGGTTAAATGGGGGCGACCAAATAGGACGCCCCGTCCAATTTTTACCATTTATAAGGAGATTGAAATTGGGTGATGGACCACTTCCTATCACAATCAAGTGACAACAAAGTATATACCCCAGCCAGAGCCTAGCCAGTAAATTCTTCATGTTATTTGTTTGAAAGTGGAAAGGAAGATTACTTCCAATTGGAGCTTTTAATGGATAGGTACAAAACCCTTAAATTCAATTGGATGAATCCGTCAGTAACGTGGTACGTACTATATCCACTAAACTGCTACCCTCATACTTCATCCTTTACAAAGCTCATTGGTTTCTACATGTATTCTTCTACCTTATTTTTTGAAGCTCTATGAACAAATACTATGACTAAATTAAGCATGCATGCATGAAGCTCTACACGTGCTTCTTTTTTAATTATATTATTATATATAGTAACAGGAAAATTGATAAAGAATGCATGCTATGTGGATGTCAGTGAGGGAAACTATCAAATGTGGTGGTAAGCTGATAGATGTTTCCCCACAGCAACAAAAACCAGACCAGTGCAAGTACAAATGCATAAGTTCTGAGAAGAAAACAGATTATTATGATGAGCTCACTCCCACAGAATTCAACTCCACATTTCAGCACAAGTACCCCCTGCGGAGATGGTTTTATGGTAAACTTTCATTATATTATCTTTTCCCATATAATTACCAATTAATACTTATCAAAACATACATTTAATTACTTGTAATTACCAAATAAGTGATCTGATTCTGTAATGCATACAACTTAAACTCAAGTTTCACAATTATATTCATTCGCTGTTCCATTTCTTGCGTCGTTTGTAAACTGGATTACAGAGGCTGCTCTTGCCTCCTCATAATTAATCACAAAGGTGCTTTTCCTACTTGCACAACTATTAGACTCAAAGACTCCAGTCTTTAGGAATGTGCTAAAAGAATTCCTTACTAATACTTGTGAGGTAATATGTTTGTGGCTAAACAGAACTGGAGATTGGAGATCCATCTAGGAATGTTATTGAGAAGATTTTCAGAGCAGCCTCAACAAATCCATCAAAGCAAAGTCGGAAAATAAAGAAAGTTCTAAGAGTGAGCAATACAACAGATATCTTTGAGAAATTCGAGAAATATAGAGAAACTGTGAAGAGAAGGTCCTTTGAGCAATATAAGGCTGGGCACCCAAGAAGCATAGTTGATGGAAATGAATTGTTGCAGTTCCATGTCACAACAATGACTTGTTACAATGGAAAAAGGAAAATCATTTCTGAGCTTTGTAAAGATCCCAGCTGCTGTGTCTGTAGGCTACTTCAATCCGGTTTCACAAATTCAAGAGATGGAATTCAACTGAGCACAAGCAGTGATGTCCCGTGCGAGCGCGCGAGTCGCTTCTCCAACAGAAAGAATGTCAAGAGAGCTGTCATAGTTTGCAGGATAATTGCTGGTAGGGTAGTAAATAAGGATGATATCAACCTTGAGGAAGAGTATGATTCAGTTGCAAGTGGACTTCATCTCAGGTCACAGTGCTTGATTGTAAAAGATTCAAGTGCCGTACTCCCCTGCTTCGTCATAGTTTTAAATTGAATATATACCTCCCAGGAGGCAGCTTTAGGATTTAAACTCATTGTGCTTCTGAATCATGCGTTCAGATTTTAATATTCGAGTAAACTAAATGAATCAATATGATGATGACTAGTTGCAAAACAGAGTTTTCGGATATTGATAACTTCCAAGATCAATTCCAGCATGCCTACATCTGTTTTACTACAGGAACATGAAGTTTTCCAAGCCCCAATTTTTATCATTTTCGTCTGAAATTAACGCACATTTTTGTAACCAAACTAAACCTTTGCAATTTTTTTTTTCTTAATCAAAAGTATATATGTACATAACATCTTTCAAAACAACTATTCCATATTAATACGACAGTGCTTGAAAAATAATATAGTTTAAACATGTATTTGGAATGGTAGTAAATACTCATTAAAATCCTGACCTCAAACCCAACCCCGTGTACTAGCTAAATAAAGATATAGGGTGTGTTTGGTATAACGAAAAATATTTTTCATGAAAAATATTTTTTTAGAAAACAAGTAGTAATCTTACTCATTTTCCGGTGTTTGATAAGCAAATTAAGGAAAATAACTTCTCAAGAGTATCCATAAATAATTTAGATACAATAAACATGAAGCCATAAACTTTCGAACCAACAACCTTCAGAACCCACAAAATTTATAAACTTCCGAACCGGTAAACTTTGAACCCATAAACTCTATAATTTTTAAACCCGCAAACTTCCAAACACATAAACCTTCGAACTCATAACTTTGGAACTCGTAAAATTTCGAACCTGTAAAATAAAAAAACTAGAACTGAAAATAAAAAAAAATTACGGGGGTGGGGGGTCAACGGGATTGGGGTGGGTGAGTGTTGCAGAAAAACAAAACAGAAAACAGAAAATTAAAAATACAAAAGAAAAGTTAAAGAAAATAAAAAAATTTGCGGGGGGTGTGGTGGATGGTGCAGAAAAATAAAAACAGAAAATAGAAAATTAAAAATATAAAAGAAAAGTTAAAGAAAATAAAAATTTTGTGGGGGATGGGGTGGATGGTGCAGAAAAACGGGAAAAAACAGAAAACAGAAAACAGAAAACACAAAAAAAAAAAGTAAAAAAATATTTTTTTGCGGCGGGGGGAGGGGGGTTGGTTGGGGTGGTTGGGTGGCGCAAAAAACGGAAAAAATAGAAAATTGAAGTTGGAGGGGTTGGGGTTAGATGTGAGGGTAGGTGGAGTTCTTGGAAGCTATTTTCCTAACTTTTTCGAGGGAAGTCATTTCCTCCGATTTCAAGAAAATGTGATATTTAGGAAAATATGTTCCAAACTATTTTGTGCAACCAAATAGTGGAAAATGGAAAAATGTTTCCCGTCATACCAAACACACCCATAGGCTGACATCATTTGCCTTTTCAATTGTGACTGTTGCACAGCCGCCGGTGTAACGATCCGACCGGCATTTTGAGCATTTGCACTTTGCTTGATAGTTTTCGGGAATGAGTAGCTCCGTATGATGTATTATGACTTATGTGAATCGTCGGTTTTGGTTTTTAGGTTATTCGGAGTTGATTTGGAAGAATGATTCTCAGCTAGAAGCTTTAAATTTGAAGGGTTTGACCAAGTTTGACTTTTTAGTATTTGACTTCGGATTGGATTTCTGATGGTTCCGTTAGCTCCGTTGGGTGATATTGGACTTAGGAGCGCGTCCGAATTGTGATTAAGAGGTCCGTAGTAAAGTTTGGCTTGAAATAGCGAAAGTTGGAATATTGGAAAGTTTGACCGGAAGTGGAGTTTTTGATAGCGGGGTCGGATTCCGATTCCAGAAATTGGAGCAGGTCCATAATGTCAAATGTGACTTGTATGCAAAATTTGAGGTCAATCGGACATGATTTGATAGGTTTCGGCATCAGTTGTGGAAGTTGAAGTTTCAAAGTTCAATGATTTTGAATTGAGGTGTGATTCGTCATTTCGATGTTGTTATGTGTGTTTTGAGGCCTCGAGTAGGTCCGCGTTATGTGATGGGACTTGTTGGTATGTTTGGACGTGGTCCCGAGGGTCTCGAACGTGTTTCGAATTGATTTCGGAGCATTTTGAAAATTTTGACTAAGGTTTAATACTGCTGGTTCTAGTGTGACCGCACCTGCGGCTGGTTTGCGTAGGTGCGATGGTCGCAGAAGCGTAAGTGGAGTCGCAGAAGCGAGAAGAGACTGGGTGAGGAAGACCGCATAAGCGGATTTTGTTGCGCACCTACGTGCGCGCAGATGCGAGACTTGGAATCGCAGGTGCGTAAGGCTTCGCAGAAGCGGGATTCGACATCCGCGGGTGCGGGGATTTCTGGGCAAGGTTATTTTCACAGAAGCGAAGTTTTTACCACAAATGCGGTATAGCTGGGCAGAGTTATAAGAATCGAGGTTTTGGTTCTTTCTCCATATTTTGAGATGTGGGACTCGGATTGAGGAGATTTTTTAGGCAAATTTCATCACAAGGATTGGGGTAAGTGTTCTCTACTCGGTTTTGATTATATCCCATGAATCTCTCTTCGATTTTAGCAATTGGTTGATGAATTTTAAAGAGGTTTTGGCCTAAAGTTTCATAATATGAATTTTTGAGTTTTGAAAACCGATTTGGAGTCGGATTTGAGTGAAACTAGTATGGTTGGGTAATTGAATGGGTTGTCGGATTTTGTGATTTTTGTCGAGTTTCAAGGCGTGGGCCCGGGTGTGATTTTTGGCCGGATTTGAGATTTGATGTAGAATTCGATCTTTATCATTTGTAATTGCTTCCTTGGGCTTTATTTGATGTATTTGAGTTACTTTTGGCTAGTTTTGAGTAGTTAGGAGGTCGCTAGGCGCGTGATGGCATTCTTGGAGCGTCGCTTGGCTTGCTCGGCGTTCGGAATTGGCTTGTTTGAGATAAGTAACTCTTCTAAACTTAGTGCTGAGGGTATGAAACCCCAAATTACGTGTTATATGATTGGTATTAAGGTGACGCACATGCTAGGTGACAGGCGTGTGGGCGTGCACCCTGTGAATTGTGACTCTGTTGTTCATGGCACTATTTAATGGTCCTATTTTGTTGATATCTCCGTTTTCTCATATCTTGCTAGATATCTTGTCTAGGCTTTATAATGATATTGTTAGGACCCATAGAGGTCATTTCTTGCTGTCATCTCACTGATTTTATTGATATTTCGTACTCATTCATATTCATTCATTCATATCATATCTCAGTCTCAGTTGTTGTTTATTAATACATCATATCATTGTTGTCGGTCTAGTTCATGACATTGTGAGCCCGTGAGTGAGACTGGAGAGACTGATGACTGAGTGAGGCCGAGGGCCTGATTGTGAGATACTGATACTATGGCACGTGAGTTGTCCGTGCATCGCGTGAGTTGTCCGTGCGGATTCTGATACTATGGCACGTGAGTTGTCTGTACAGCATGTAAGTTGTCCGTGCGGATCCAGATATTGATGTTATAGCACATGAGTTGTCCGTACAACACGTGAGTTGTCCGTGCGAATTATAGCGCTTGGGCTGTAGGAGCCCCTCCGGAGTCTGCACACCCCCAGTGAGTGCAGTCGACTATGTATGTGTTTATAGATCGGGTTGCACGCCGCAACGAGTACTGTACAGTGTTGAGTGATTGAGTGTACTGAGTATTGAGCACGGTAAGAGATAATGTGAGATAGTGAGATTGAGTACTCTGAGAGTGTGAGTACATGAGTTCATCACTGAGAGGCATTTCATTTGACATACGTACTTGAGATATATGCATAGAGATGCATTTTCTTTGCTGTCCGGTTTTGGTGACATTCATGATTTTACATGTATCTTGACATGTAGACATAGAGATGTACTTTCCTCATGCCTTTTAGAAATGAAACATTTACCTGATGAAAAGTTTTTGGAAAAAATTACAGTTTTCAAACTTACTCATATGTTTGACGATTTCGGTAAAAGATTTGAGTTTTCACTGATATATTTGAAAAGCGGAACTACTTTTCGGGAAAACTATGAAAAGGCTGAACATTTTATCTCTGAGCTACTTCCTTATTTACTTGCTTTACATTGTTATGAACTGCTATTGGTTATTGGTGTTGGACCTGACCTATGTACCAGCTCGTCACTACTTTCAACCTAAGGTTAGGTTTGTTACTTATTGAGTACATGGGGTGGGTTGTACTTATACTACACTTCCTGCACATTGCGTGCAGATTTCGGATGCCGATATTGCTGTGCACGGCGGGAGCTGGATTTGAAGGTGTACCTGCGTCCCTGTTGTAGTTGCCTCTTGTTCATAGTAGCCTTAGTTTTGTAAAACTCTGTTTAGGTACTTTTCAAACAGAAGATGTATTTTCTTCATATTAGTTTTGTAAACTCTATTCTTAGAAGCTCGTGATTTGTACTACCAGCCCTTGGAAATGTATAAGAATCAGATAATTTCTTTGTTTAATTATTTTATTACGTTAATTGGAAATTGATAATTCTTAATTGGCATACCTAGCGGGTTGGGTTAGGTGCCATCATGACTAGTGGATTTCAGGTCGTGACAGATTGGTATCAGAGCTCTAGGTTCATAGGTTCTACAAGTCATGAGCAAGTGTCTAGTAGAGTCTTGCGGATCGGTATGATGACGTCCATACATATCTTCGAAAGGCTACAGGGCATTTAGGATATACCTCCCATCTTTCTTTCCTTATCGTGCGGCATTAATTCAGCTTGAAGCATAATCCTTTGAATTCCTTCCACGCATTCGTGAGCGCAAGTGAGCGCAAGTGATCAGCTGTGCATCGACGACTTGTGATTCCCTGGATGAGGTGCGAAATGTGATTTATGTGTGTTGATGATGGGCCAGTCTGGAGGATTTGAGGCCAGGTTTTGACTGTAGCTTGAGCATAGAGATGTTGATTGTGTGAGCACGTGCTTTTGGACTTATATGTCCGGTAGCGTCCCTATGACTGGAATTTGTGACTAGATGAGTGGTCCGATTGCTTTGATAGGCTATAATTACATATTTTAGTCGATTAT